CGGCCGCGCGCCGTCCGGGCCCCGTCTGCAAACACATGCCCGAAGCTCAGCCGCGGCCCACCGTCGGCCCGCGCACGGCGAGCCCCTGGACTGGCGGTGCGGGGCCGCGCTGCACTCACCCGGACTCCGGGATCCGCTTGCTCTTCCGCTTCATTTCACCTGGCGAGGACATCTTTGGTACAGCGAAGCGACACAAACTTCCGGGTTCCGGGCACTTCCGCTCTCAGCCACACCCCGAGGCACAGGCCACGCCCGCCTCCAGCCGCCGAGGCCGCTCGAGAGCCGACGGCGTGTTCCCCCGCGCTGGGACCTGACGCTCGGCACCGCCCCACTGGATCGCCGGGGGCTGTCGGAGTGTGGCCAGAGTTAAGGCGTCGAGGGTTCTGACTTCGGCTGGGGCGCGGCGTGGTTCGGCGCGCTTGCCTGGCTCCGCCTAGCTGCGCCCCCTTCGGCCCTGGGTGGCCGGGGCTGGGCTCCCAAGCCGCCCGCCTCTCACTAGGTTCCCGATCCCGTCGGCGGCCGCCCCGTCCTGCGGGCCCGGCGCCGGCTTTAGGAGGACCTCGCGCTCCGCAGGCAGAACGCTTTGTTCAAACCCCACCCGTCCGGCGGAGACTTGGGGACGCGCACCGCATCGCGCCCCCGTGCTTCCGCACTGCACACCCGCGCACATCGCACATCCGCACACCGCACCCCCGGGCGCTGCGCCTGCCTAGCGTGAGCTGAACTGACCTTTACCAGGTGCGTTAGGGAACTGGATGCGGACCGCGTCCATCCCCGTCCATCCCCTTCCATCCCGCCCGTCCGGATCCGCGCCCGACCACGCCCGGTGGGCCCCACGGCCCGCACACCCAACGAGCACTTCCCGCCCGCGTGGCCTCCGGCTTCAGCCCAGCTTGAACACCAAGGCCCGGGTCACCAGCCGGGGCTGCTTGCACTCAGCACGTCCTACCTCGGCACCAGCGCGCCGGTGCGGGACAAGGCGTCGACGGGGTGGTTACCGTCTCCAAGGAGATGCGGGAGACCAGCGGACCAGGCCCTCAGGAGGCCGCAGGGATTCTTGCGGGAGGCCAGCCTTCGTGGAGCGGCCGCGCCCTCGCCAGTGGTCCGGGTGCAGATGGGTCTGCCCTTTCGTAAAGAAAGTCTACAGATGGGTCTGGCAGCCTCGCCCGCGCGCCCCAGGGCAGGGCACTCCCTCACCTGTCCACGCCGCCAGTCACCACAAGCCAGTCACCGCACGCCTGTGTGCTCAAGCGCTGCTCCCTTTAAACATTTCCTCATGGTTCAGGTTGGATGTTGTTTCATTTACACAATGAATCGATACCAGCCTCCACCCAACACACACACACAGGCTTTAATTCAAGGCCACATCACACATTTTTGGTTGGGTCTTCGTTGCTGTTGCTGGCTCATTAGGACATTTGTCTGCCCAGCCTGGCTTTGCATTGTGATCCTCCGATCTCAGCCTCCTCAATAGGATTACAGGCGATAATTGACACCGAGATTTCCACTCCCCAGACAGACAGGGAAATCCCACTCTTAGGGACAGCTCTGCAGCAAACTCAACTTGGCAAACTAATGTAAATAATTTAGATGAGCAGGGGTAAAATTAGGTGAAGCTCTTGTAGTGTAATGAATTTCCCAGATCCTTTGGAGCAGGTCAGAAGAAAGGCCACAAGAGCACTTATTCCAGCACAAGTTGGAATATGGAGAATGGTTTCAGTTGTAGACCCAATTAAGTTTGTGACCAGACACGAATGAAAACAATAAAGGTTAAGTTAGCAAGGTTATTAATCACCCTCCACAAGCCTTCCTGAAGCTTGATTTTGCCAGCGATGGGCTTGAACACAGGGCTTCAAGTGCTTTGTATTTATTGCCTATGGCTGTTGTGCTGTTACTTGAGCCACACTTCCAACCCTACTTTTTGTTCATTCATTGGAGATAGTCTCATGGGCTTTTCTGCCATGGTTGACTTCAAACCACAGTCCTCCAGGTGTCCGACATATGAATAGCTAGGATTACAGGAAAGAGAATTGGCTAATTGTTCTCTGTTTTAAGTGTGCAAATATGATTAATCTCCATCAAAACACTGGCTTATAAGAACACATGTTATCTATAACTTCCACAGCATTTTCAGTGGCCAGTATACTATGAACTCACTTTGGGAAGCACTGTTACACAGAATTGCAAACATAGTCCCTAAATTAACATTTAATTGTCTTGTAACTTACAGAACTTTATTTTCTTTAACATGAAAAGAGGGTTTTCTCTTAGTAAAAAGAAATCCACTAAATATTAAGACCAAAAAACTGTATTGTTAACTTTAGATAGTTTAAGGCCACATAATAGCTCTTCACCAGAAGTACATTAAAATCACTGGAAAGCCGGGTATTGGTGGCTCACGCCTATAATCCTAGCTACTCAAGAGGCTTGAGATCTGAGGATCGCAGTGATTCAAAGCCAGCCGGGGCAGAAAAGTTTGTGACTCTTATCTCCAATAAACTATTCAAAAAAAGCTAAAGTGGCACAGTGGCTCAAGTAGTAGAGTGCTAGCCTTGAGCACAAACTGGCTTGTGGACAATGCTCAGGCCCTCAGTTCAAGCCCCAGTACTGGTAAAACATTAAAAAATAAAACTGAAATCACTGGAGACCTTAAAAGAAACCAACAAACAAAGCTGGGTGTAGGGGCACAGGTCAGTAACCTCAGTGCATTGGAGGCTAGGGCAGGAGGACTTGAGTTAAATGCCAGCCTGGGAAACACATAACCATTTTCCTGTCTCAAGAAAAATGTTTTAGTGGGAAAACATTTTAATGTTCTTCTTTGGACAAGTCTCTTAAGTCATAACAAAAATATTTATATGCAATTGAAGCTTTCAGACAGCCTAAAATACCTACTTAACATGGTTAATGGATTTTTCTTTAGGGTTGCTAAGGATGGAACCTTCATGTAATATGTGTCACATACACATACATATGTGTGTGTATGTATATGTATATATATATATATATATATATATAGTCTAGTCATCACAAACTAAAATTACTTCATCTTTTAGAAACAAAAATCAAGGATTCACAAACTATGGCATTTTATTTCAGAGCCTTTGCTTACATTTGTACAATATATTACATAATTCTTCATGTTTGCAGAGCCTAATATATACTTTATAGCTTTTATTCTATAAGCTTTTTCTTCAACATTTTGCTGTCAACAAATCTTTACAGTCCTGTACACATTTGAATAACTTGAAACCATTTTCAACAAAATTAGTTACTGTAAGCACACACTACAAGACTGAAAATGCTTTTCTTAGAAAAGTTGAATGTAAAGAGTAAGGATTCTGACACGTTAGCATCTACAACAAAACGTTTCGAGAGTCTCAATGTCGTACTGCCAGAAACAAATAAAACATGCCAGCCCCATTCAAAAAAAGCACACAGAACTACAAGTAAAACAGTCTGTACAATAAAGGACTGTGTATTAACAGTGCCAGGTATTAAATAGCTTCAATGAACACATCCGCAATATACAAATGTCTTACAAAGGTGAGGAATTAAATACAAGTGCCAAACAGAACATAGATTGAATCATACAACATAAAGTCAACACAAGTGAAAACAATCTCCTGTTTGTTTTGGATTTTATACAAGGCATTTAACTTTATAGACCTACTACCCCAATTAGCTATTTATACTTAAAATAACAACCATCTTTGTTAGACAGGTCATATAATCAACCTTTAGCCACACTAGTACAGTTTGTTCCTGAAGTCTTTTTGTTGTAAGCTCATAATAAAATAAGCAATACAAATGAATTATCTGTATTTAAGGGAAAAGAAACATTTACAAGAAAACACAAAAATATAACTGTTATAATTCATTATGAATAAATATACATTTTGAACTGGCTACAATCTTTATACATCGTTTAAGATTTAATACAGTTTATTAGCCATTTTCTTTTTTCACACAATGTATTATATCAAAATTAAAAAAAAATACTGATTTATAGAAAAATGGCAAAGTACAGTAGTTCCATTCCAATTGAAGGGGCATGAAAAGCCACTGCAAAGACCTTTTAGCCTAATTCAAATCTGTAAACATGTGCAGTCTATTTTTTGTTTAAGAGAATCTTTAGTATTTGGTTACCAGGATTGATGTCTAATATCCTGTTAACTGCAGGTTTTGAATTTATTACATGTGCTTGACTTATACAATTAGAGCCACCATATGGTGACTTGCTTTAAAAAACAATTTGCTTGTACAAATGAAAATAGGTTATTTTTTTCATAAATAAATGGAAAAATATCAAATGTTCCAGCTTTAACAAAATACAAGGGAATACATATACAGTAAGTTATCTTAACATGTTCTGGCCCGCCCCTTACTCTGCTTACTGTATTGTCTCTACAGGCAGTGAAAAGCCTCCATTTGCCACAGTGGAAGGCCTTCAAGTTACCAGACACACAATTCCCAGACAAGTTGGAAACAATTATTGCTTGAGGAAAAGCAGTTCATTGTACTTTTTCTTCATAAAAAAGTGCACTTAAGTGCCAAGTCAGCTTTTCAAGAAACATTTTTTTTAAATATAAAATAGTGCTTGTCTGATTTTTTTTGTGCCACTGTGCAGTATAAAAAGACGTGGCCCCCAACAGCCAGTAAGTGCAAAGTGCTCTAGCAGATCTTGCTGTCACCTGCACTCAACTGACATTCCATTCTGTGACGTGCTGGACATGGATGGCTCTGCTAACGTTAGCATAACTG